GAGAGAGAGAGAGAGAGAGAGAGAGAGAGAGAGAGAGAGAGAGAGAGAGAGAGATCCTCAATACCAATATATAAGGTGGAAAGCAAACCAGAAAGACACAGATGTCAATCTGTGGCTGTCTCACACACACACACATACTCACATATGTGGGTTTGCACACATGAGAACGTGCATATGTCTACCCCACACATACACACAGTCAAAACTGTTTCTAAAAAAGCAAAACCCCTGCATGATCAGGTATTATCATAAAGCACAGTGAAGAAGTTAGAACACCTGGGCTCCATCCATCCCAGCTCAGCCGCTCACATTCACACTCCTAGACATTGCTGGCAGTGGTGTTGAGCATTACTCTAAGGCTTGGACTTTTTCACCCCTAGAACTCAGAACAGTTGTGAAGATTAGGTAAGATAACTCATGTAAAGACTTTGCTGCAGCGCCTTGACACCCCGACATTAGTCATCATAAGGAGAAAAGTCAGGATCTGATCAAAAGAAACACACAGCTTTTGCTACCTTGTGGATAAATGTGTGGCTGTAAAGGCGCATCTTAAAGTCTTGAATTGAGTTAGATTCTTTCACACTCAGGCAGCAGGGTAAAGCACACCTCATCATTCGAGTCTTGGGTTCAGGAGAGAAGCAGAGAAGCTCTGTGAGTATCCCGAAAGGAACCCTTGGTGCGTACATCAGATAACATGTTAACTAACTAACGCTCTCGAAGATCGCTTTACGGCACGTTCAGGACTAAGCTTGAGCTACACAATTTGGATGGAGTTCTTTCAAAACCATACAGCAGATAAGAAATATGACTTCAATGTACAGTTTTATAAGATTAAAAGATATCAAACAAGTAAGCACACTGTCACGTGCACTGTAAAAGAAAACGTAGGTGACTTAGGCTTGGCTTCTGTCCTTAAGGCCCTGTTGATCAGGACATGTAGAGCGGAAAGGTGAGTAACGGTACCTTAGTAAGGCCGGTTGTATTAACCCCCAGGGGAGATACAAACCGCCCTGGAATGACAGCGGAAGGGAGGGTCTGTTCTTACACATCACATTCACACAGCCTCGGGACACGGACACAGACGGCTTCCTGTGCTTGGAATGCACACGTCCTCCCCTTTCTGCTGGTCTCCTTCTGTTCTGTCTCCTTGTGGAGTTCTTCCCCGGTTTGCATCGTGGAGCAGATGGCTATCTGTTGTTTCCTATCTCAGTACCTCATTTGTCCCGTGTCTATCATGGTCCAGTTACTTTATTTCTTTGCTTTGTAGACTTGCTTTGTCTGCAATGTAAAAACGTAAGCTCCATGGAGGCAGGACTATGTATGTGTTTGTCCAGTGCCATTTAATGCCTACAACGGTGCCTGTCTGACACTCAGTAGGCTTTCATCTGTGGGATGAACCAGTGAGTAAGTACAAGATCACATTTGGTTGATAGCATCCAGCCAAGGGCCATAAGAGGTGAGAATCCCTAAGCACTTGATAGAATGTAAAGAGAGGAGCAGCTGGATGCTACAGACAGACACAAAGGCAAGAGGCCCCGAGCAGGTTTTGATGTAGGATGTCTCATCAGTCCAAGCTCCGCCTTTTCATTTGACATCAAATTGATAACACTAGTGTGTGTTTATAACTGTGTAAACAACACACAGGGATTGTTCCCTTTTTCTCCCATGAAAAGTTGTGTAATTGATGGTGTGTCTTCTAATCACCAGTTGAAATGTAGACATGGAAATATAAGGTAAATCACTTTTTAAAAAAGATTTATTTTGACTTTATGTGTGCGGATGTTTTGACTGTACATATGTATCTCCGCCATGTGCATGTTCAGTACCCCTGGAGGCCAGAAAAGGACGTCAGATCCCCTGGAATTGGAGTTATAGATGGTTGTGAGCCACCATGTAGGGGCTGGGAATGAGACCCAGTCCTCTGCAAGAGCGTCCACCACTCTTTCCCACTGATCTCTCCACCCTGGTAACCCACTTTTCGTGGAACACAGCATACACATGAGAGCTGAGCGAGCGGGTGCTGCAAAGTCCTGGTGTAACGGGCTTTGCACACACACAACTTTTATAACACTGTCAAGATGGCGAACAACGTGCCCGCTCTACCTAACTAATCAGCAGCGGGAAGGAGTTTGGACTGAAAGGGACCGATGCACTCATCCCCAAAAGAGTTGTAAATGTTTCTGTGGAGATAGATACCTTTTCTTGACCATTCATGTTTTTCACACCTCAAGACACAAACTTCCGTGTCCAAGGCCGGCTAGACTCCGCCTCGTTGGATGATGAGGCAAGGACTGTGACTTCAACTATTCTAACAGTCGCTGTGCTATCATGGTTCTTTCAAGTTTACGAAACGGGAAAATAAATACTTACAGAATGCTAAACGCCTCCCTAACTGTCAAATAAATGAAAAATGGCATTTTACTATTTTTTTGGATGAAATTGAGTGGATAATGAGGACAAAAGTAGGGGTAAGAATGTTTTGAAGTCAAAGGGAGTTAATCTAGGAAAAGCCCCCCGGAAGGAGAGTGTTCGCTAATTGGAAGCAGGGAAGAGATATCGGCTGGCAGAGCGGAGGCTTATTCACACAGTACTTGAGGATTCAGGACATCATGGTCCTGTTCAACTTCCGTTAGAAAAATGATGAAATATATGTGTGAGCCAAAGACAGAACCAGGGAAAATGAAATGAATCGGTGAGCGCAGAGACAGGGGGAAGAGGTTCATCCCGGGAGCTGAACGTGGCCTGAATCAGCCATGATTCACTTTTACGGAAAGTGAGTTGTAAGTCAGAAAGCATGCATGGGTCCTCCTTTGCAAATAATGGTGTCATCTGGAATGCAGGCAGATCCTTCCCACTCCCGTCACCGCAGTCTCCATGACACTAAGCATGGACCTTTTTTCAATCCTCTCTGAACCCGAACATCTGACTCTATTGACCTGTCCTTATACTAACTGTAGTAAATGATGCAAGACGCAAAGTTTGCCACCTCAACTACCTTTAAGTATACAGTTCGGTGGCATTGAGACCATTCACATGCCTACGCCACCATCAAACCTGCCTACTACAGCAAAACTGAAACCCTACACCCGTGAAGCACCACCTCCCCACTTAGCCTC